TCAGGGAGGGAAAATCCTGTGTCACAAACCTATTAGAGTTTTATGACAAGGTGACAGAAGTAAGACAAGAGAGAGAGGGGTGGATCGACTGCTTTTTTTTTGGACTGCAAGAAGGCCTTCGACACAGTTCCTCAAAAAGAGGTTACTGCAAAAGCTAGAGGATCAGGCACACATAACAGGAAAGGCACTGCAATGGATAAGAGAATACCTTACAGGGAGGCAACAACGAGTCATGGTACGTGACGAGGTGTCAAAGTGGGCGTCTGGTGACAAGCGGGGTTCCACAGGGGTCAGTCCTTGGACCTGTGCTGTTCTTGGTATATGTGAATGACATAACGGATGGGATAGACACAGAAGTGTCCTTGTTTGCGGACGATGTGAAGTTAATGAGAAGAATCAAATCGGATGAGGATCAGGCAGGACTACAAAGAGACCTGGACAGGCTACAAGCCTGGTCCAGCAACTGGCTCCTTGAGTTTAACCCCACCAAATGCAAAGTCATGAAGATTGGGGAAGGGCAAAGAAGACCGCAGACACAATATAGTTTAGATGGCCAAAGTCTGCAAACCTCACTCAAGGAAAAAGATCTGGGGGTGAGTATAACACTGAGCATATCTCCTGAGGCGCACATCAATCAGATAACTGCTGCAGCATACGGGCGCCTGGCAAACCTACGGATAGCGTTCCGATACCTCAGTAAGGAGTCGTTCAAGACTCTGTATACCATTTACGTCAGGCCCATACTGGAGTATGCAGCACCAGTTTGGAATCCACACCTAGTCAAGCACGTCAAGAAATTAGAGAAAGTTCAAAGGTTTGCAACAAGACTAGTCCCAGAGCTACGGGGATTGTCCTACGAAGAAAGGTTGAGGGAAATTGGCCTGACGACACCGGAGGCCAGGAGGGTCAGGGGAGACATGATAACGACAAACAAAATACTGCGCGGAATAGACAAGGTGGACAAAGACAGGATGTTCCAGAGATGGGACACAGACACAAGAGGTCACAATTGGAAGTTGAAGACTCAGATGAATCAAAGGGATGTTAGGAAGTATTTCTTCAGTCATAGAGTAGTCAAGCCGTGGAATAGCCTAGAAAGTGAAGTAGTGGAGGCGGGAACCATACATAGTTTTAAGGCGAGGTATGATAAAGCTCATGGAGCAGGGAGAGAGAGGACCTAGTAGCAATCAGGAAGAGGGGGGGCCCAGGAGCTATGACTCGACCCTGCAACCACAAATAGGTGAGTACAAATAGGTGAGTACCCGCAGACACACACACACACGAAAGACACACACACACACACAACACACACAACACACACATACACACCACCATACATACACACACACATACACACACATACATACATCATAAACACACACACACACACACAAATCACACACACACAAACACACCCCACACAAAACACACACAAACACACACACACACACACACACACACATACACACATACACACACCACACCCAAAACACCACACACACATACACACACACCACACACACACACACACCACACACCCCACCACACACGCACATAACCACCACACACACACCCCACCACACACACCAAAACCACACACACACCACACACACACCACACACACACCACCACACACACCACACACCAAAACACAAACACACACCACACACACACACCACACACACACACCACACACACACACACCACACACACACACACCACACACACACACCAAACACACCCCAAACCACACACCACACACACACCACACACACACACCACACACACACACCACACACAACACAACACCACACACACACACCACACACACACGCACTACACACACCCACACACCCTCCACCACTTGACACAAACACATACCCCCCTCCCCTAACCACCTCTCCCCCCTTCCCAAACCCCACATCACCTTAGCCACCTACCCCTCCCCCACACCACCTAACCCCTCCCAAACCGTCTAACCCCCCAACTACCTCCCTCCCTCCAAAACCATCCTCCCCCTCCCCCATAAACCATCCATCCCCCTCTCTCCCTCAAACCATCTAACCCCTCCCCCAACTATCTCTACCCTCCAAAAACCACGCACACACACACGCACATACACACACACACACCCTCCACCACTTGAGACAAACACTTGACACAAACACGTATCCCCCCCCCCCCTAACCACCTCTCCCCCTTCCCTAACCACCTCACCTTAGCCACCTACCCCTCCCCCAAACCACCAAAAACCCTCCCCAAACCGTCTAACTCCCCCAACTACCTCCCTCCCTCCAATAACCATCCTCCCCCTCCCCATAACCATCCATCCCCTCTCTCCCTCAAACCATCAAAACCCCTCCCCCAACTATCTCTACCCCTCCAATAACCATCCCTCCCCCTCCCCCAAAACCTTCCATCCCCTCTCCAAACCCAAATCTATTCCCCTCCCCCTAACCAGGATGAGGACAAGGGGCTCCAATGACGAATCTGGGAGGGAGGAATGGGAGGTGAGCTCAAAAAAAGGGAGGAAGACTGGAGAAGGAGACTAGATGAGCGGGAAAAAGGAAGATGGAAGAGGGGTTTTAGCAGCAGAATGCAGAAGGTGGAAGCAACAGGCCACAGCAGCAGAAATCAAGATAGAGAGATTAGAAGAGGAGCTGAGACATCTGAAACAGCACAGAGACAAAGATATTACAGAAGTAGCATCGGCAATGGCTACATCAAACACAAACAGGTCTGAAGGAAGCAGGGAAAAAACTAAACTGTATGCAGAGGTCCTGTCAAACCCACATGGGGCCAAAAAAAAGACAGGGGGAGCACACGGGACAGAATGAGAGGTTGGAAGACATTGAAGGAACTAGGACATGTGCAAGGACCTTACCAATACCTGTGGGGGCCAGGAGCAGGTGAGCGGGAAAGGGAAATAAACCAAGAAGCATAGGGGCAATAACTAGGGAAGGGACTGAAGGAAGGAACACTCCAGGGGAAGGAACTAAAACACATCAGAGGATGCAATGGGAGTCACAGTGGGAGGTGGAAAGGGAAAGATCCGGTTTGTCTATGGGCTAGACGAAGCTAAAGGGGAAAACTTATGATGAAAGAAAGCAGGAGGAGAAAAAAGCGATTAAAATATATCATGAAGGTGATAGGCGAGGGGGACATGACCCAGGTGGCAAATTTTGGGAGAATTGGGTGGTTCACAAAGAAAAGGAATGGGCCTCTCAAAGTAATTTTCAAGGCAGAATCATCCCGAACCATGATCCTGCAGGAGAAAGCACGGCTGAGAGGCAAGCGGGATTTTCCGGAGTGTGTCCCTCGATCGAGACAGAACACAGGACGAAAGGAAGACAATGAAAAAGAGAGTTCAAAAACGAAAGGAGAAATGGAGGAAATGAAAAAGGAGAGCAGAATAATCCAGGATCAAATGGAAGGACAAGCGCATCCCCCAGAAAACACACCTGCAGAAGGACTCCAGCCACGACACCCCCAAGGCACTGAACAATCCAAACCATCCATCACACACCGATCCCTCTGTTTCCACCCCCCGCACCACAGTTACAGTATTTAGAACGAAGTTGAAGGTTTGGTACACAAATGCAGATGGATTAATGAATAAACATGAGGAATGGCAAGAAAGGATCAATGAGAAGTCCCAGACATCATAGCAGTTACAGAAACAAAACCCCATGGAGACAATTTACAGATGCAATTTCCCCCCAGGATACCAGATCATGAGGAAAGATAGAAAAGGCAGGGGGGGAGGTGGGTTTCTCTGCTCGTAAAAAAAACAGATGGA